CCCACATACCCCCCTCCCCCCCCCCCCCCCCCTTTTTTTTTTTTTTAAAACAGCTCCATGCGTTTTCTTCAGGTTTCAAAGCTGTGGTTACTCAGTACTGCACTTCAGCAGTGGAGATCTGCCTCCGGGCGTGCGGGGGACATGGTTACTCCTTGCTGAGTGGACTCCCTTCCTTGTACACTAAAATACTTGCTTCTTGTATTTACGAAGGGGAAAACACCATTTTGCTCCTGCAAACTGCCAGGTAACAATTCAAATTTGTTCGTCTAAAAGCCTGCCCGCTGTGGTTACTCAGTACTGCACTTCAGCAGTGGAGATCTGCCTCCGGGCGTGCGGGGGACATGGTTACTCCTTGCTGAGTGGACTCCCTTCCTTGTACACTAAAATACTTGCTTCTTGTATTTACGAAGGGGAAAACACCATTTTGCTCCTGCAAACTGCCAGGTAACAATTCAAATTTGTTCGTCTAAAAGCCTGCCCCCTCATTTATTCAGCCTCTACCACTTCTCCTAAACCAGTAAAACCAGCTACTCCTTTCTCACAGCACCTTCCAAAAATACAGCTCAGGACATAAACTATTCATGTCTTCTGTCTAACAGGCATGGAGGTGTGTGGGAATTGGATTCTCTCTTCTATTTTTGGTTTGGGGATGTACGCAGGTGCTGTTCTGCATAACCTCATTTTCCTCTTTGTCTAGTAGCGCAGCAAAAGCATTGCTATACAAGTTTTGCGGTTTATTTTTTTAAGCAACCAACGTAATGCAATATTGGTAAAGTGAGATTGATTCAGAGAAGGACAAAGTTGAATACCGAAAGCAGATGAGTCATGCTCTGAGAACACCACTTTCCTCTGAACACACAGACTGATGATTATCCAGAGCAGATGAAATACGGGAGAAAGAAACCACAGCTGCTTGAACTTTTAATAATGTGTGTTTTTACTAGAAGGAGACAAACAGTACGCTTCCCAGGGACAGAGGTGCTACCACGTAGCTCTGTGCTTGCACATGCGGACGGTTCTGCACTCATTACTGCTGCTTCTTGCAAGATCAATAGCAAGGTCAAGAGAAATGCTGTAAGCTTTTACTTCCAGACCTGGTCAGTCTAGGTCATAGCAGAAGTGCCAAAAAAAAAATAAGGGAGTGGGGAATGCTCCTTAGACCTATGTTTAGCTGCAAGAAAGGGCCTCAAGTTTGTTAACATAATGTGACTGTGTGTTGGGGATCACAGAGAGTAACACCAAACCACTGTTAAGACTCCCAGAGCATTAAGACTCAGGCTGCAAAGTTGATAATGTATCTAATCACCATGCAGCTGAGACTGCTAATAGCCACAGCAAGTTTCTTCCTAAAAATTCATCACTATGGATTGCTGTAGCCTTAAATACAGTAGACAGACTACCTCTGAGACCCATCACAGATCAGGTTATCGCAAATAACATGCAAAACAAAAGGTCATTACTTGTTTAAGTCCATTCTGGATCACTGATGGGATGGGTCACACCTTGCTGCTACCCACCCAAGTCCACTTTACTTTCTGCGTGACCGTTTGCTGCGTGGGGACCACAGCCATACCCTGCTCTGACTGCGACCCTCTTCCCAGGTTCCTGATGAAGTGCTTCATGGCAGCCAGCACGGGCCAGCCTGTTCCACCATCCGTCACTTACCTGGCTGCAGGGAAACCCGGGAAGTGTCCAGCCAAGAACAAGTTGGATTTTCTCAGTCCAGATATTTACACTGAGGCTTACCAACATGTGGCAATTAGGTCAGTACGGGGGATGGCAGACGGGGTTTCTCTCTTTGACATCAGAAATGTGTTGAGCTCAGCTTCCTCCTTGCTTTAAAGGGAGGCAAAATAACACAAGTTACACAAGAATTGACACCATCTGCTCCTGAAAGAGAAAAGGGAGACTCACACGGGATTAACAGCCATGTCAAATGTTCAGTATGAAGCTTTCACATTCAGAACCTCAAAAGTTTTTAAGCCATGCGCTACCTAACAACCGTATTCCATAGAGCTGATTCTATACCAAGCTGATGGCACTATTTAAGCAAATCCCAGACCACATCACTGAGTTGCCATCCAGTAAAACCTTTCGGCAACTGGACCCTGTGCAATTCCACACAGAAAGTTAAAATTTCACATACCTGTGAAAATGATGTTCGTTTTCAGTTAACACCACAGCAAACTCAGAGCCTTTCATTCTGTCTGTAGCCTTTCAACTACACATTCAACTACCCAACACAAATGAAAATGGTATCACGAGTGGTCTCATGAGTGTTATGTGCATTGTTATGGGCCATATAGGCGTCGTCTCTGAAAACCAGGTAAACAGATAGACAACCCTGTTCTCATTCAAATCGGTGTAAAGACAGAGCCATTCTTCTGAAAGCTTTGGTGTCGACAGGAACAGGATTTGGATCCCTATGTAGAAAAGTAGAAACATAACATAACATCAGACCAATATTATCACCACTTTATTTTGTTTTGCAAACTCTCCTTACACACACACAACCCAAGAAAAACTCAGCAGACCCCATGGAAGCTGAGAAGGCAGAAATTCTTCAGTACCAGGGTGGTCTTGCAATTTGTACTTAGATTTTGCACAATGTAAATTTGCTCATACTCAGCACAGATAACTTCAGATGTCAGAAATGCCATTTTGCCATATGAACACACACAAGTCTGGGTATGAACTGAGCACATGTGGGCTGCTATATTCATATACAATATGCTTTTTCAATTTTCCAGACTTGTAAGCAACACAGCAGCTAAACTACAGGACTTGATTCAGTCTGGAGTCAGAAAGCACGACGCGTGGAACCAGTGCACGGTGCAGCTGGTGCAGGCTGCGAAGGTTAGCAAAATTACCTGCTTATTTGACATTTGTCTTTATGATACAATATGCAACAGAAATGGCGTGATTAGCTTAAGGTCTCAGCAATTTTATTGTTTTCTGTTAGCATCTAAGGGATACCACAAAGACCAGGGCACCACTGTGGTCTGCAGGGTGGAAAAATTGTAGTAAGAAGCAATTCATGATGCGAAGAATTTCCCGTCTGAGTAAGCCAGGTAGAAAAAAAAAAAAACTAAAGGAAGTAGAAATGAAAGAATCACAGAATCGCAAGGGTTGGAAGGGACCTCGGGAGATCATCTAGTCCAACCCCCCCTGCTAAAGCAGGTTCTCCTAGAGCATGTTACATAGGACTTCGTCCAGGCAGGCTTTGAATATCTCCAGAGAAGGAGACTCCACAACCCCCAGGGAGGGGAGAAGAAAAAAAAAACAAAAACAAAAAAATCAAACCCCAAAAAACCCACATTCACAGTTATGCTGCCACTACTAGCAGAATCAGACCTCCCCTATCCTGCAAAAAGAACCCACCACCTCCAGCTAACGCTCACCTTTTTATAAGAATCCAGCGTTTCTGGCTCCCAGAGGAAAGCCTCCCCAAAGCCACCCTACTGAAAGCTGGTGGACAGCAGGGGTGAACCACGCCTGGGATTTCTGACATCTACCGCTCTCACAAGGAGAGATAACTGCAGGGAAAACAGTGAAAAGCAGTAGTAAGTGCAGTGTTAATCACTACTGAAAGAAAAATCAAATCAAAGTCAAATTAATAAAAGATTCAAAACCCAACTCCCAGTTCACATGGATCAGCCAGGCAACCAGCATGCCTTCAGCTGAAGCAGGATCAGAACAGCAGCATTTGTTCCCCAAAACAGGGGTTAGTACAGAACTAAGCAGAAAAAAAAAAGCAAGAGGGGAGGACAGCCCTGAACTTAAATGAAAAACCAAAACCACTGATAATCAGTATCTCAAAAAAGCAAAATTCTTTTTTTAAAATGCAATTAAGTGCAAGTCCTCTACAATCATGGTGAAGGTCTTCCTTCCTAAGCTGAGAAAAGGAAGATTTTGAAACAGATCCACAGCTTGCTTAAAGTACTTCATTCAATTTTTAGTGAAAAACACATGGCTGTAATCTACCTTTCAGCCAGCCCAAATTGAAATGGGCTTAGCAAGAAGCCCCTAATAGGGCAAAAGGAACCCTACACACACCTAACTGTGGTGATACCATCTCAGTGGTTTCACAGTAGGGAACAGCCCCTTGCAGCCAGTCAATTAGATGAAGTCCTCGATGAGTCAAACCCTTTCTCAGCAACAGCCGAGATCCTTTCAAAGCCATCGGAAGCGTTGATCTGCTCATACCGGTAAGCACAGTTGTAATCCGTCAAAACAAGAACTCCCTGAGTAAGGGAGCAAAGATTTGATCTCAGCATCAGCATTTTTTGTGGTCACCCGTCTGCCATGCATCACCCCTCATTTTCAATTGCACAGAGTCAGTGGAAGCAGCAAGTATTCAATACTGTAAGCTTGAAAAGAGCAGAAAACCAGAGTAATTGCCTCAAAAACAAGGAGACCTCTTATAAACAAAGTCACTTTTTTAAATTACTTTCCCAATAGTTTAAATGTAAATATATTTTTAGTGGACAAAACTGAAGCAAAATATTCCTATTTAGGACCACCTCTAGAAAAGGCTCTGACCAGCGCTCCCTGCACACAAACCCAAACAAGGTGTTCCCTCCCACACCCACTTGAATGGGTGGCCAAGGTCTCAGGACTGAAGAGCAGGGGAGACCACATATCTGAGGAGCAGCTGGAACCCAGCTCTCTCTGAGAAGCAAGGAGGAGAACCTAGACACAGGACTAGTCAGAAATAAACTATTTCTGAAGAACCTAACATACGCAGAGGGCTGGCTGTGGTAGTGTCAGTGGTAGTCATGCTGCTCCACTCTTCAGAAAATGGGATCCAGGCCCCCAAAGTTTCTTAGATACTTCAGGGAGAGGAAGAGTCACCCAAAACCCTTGAGTTTCCCCCATAACTTTAAAACCTTGATAGCCTGCTGCCTTCTTGGGGCACTTCCATAGTTACTTCTCATTCCACACCTTCCCTGAAGACCCACCCACAGGACTGGCACAGCAGCTATATGAATTGATGCCTGCCAGCTCTCAGCTGAGTGGCTCAAACACTGGGTACGGCTTTGCTGCAGACTCCACACAGGGTAATTGCTCAAGCAGACACCCAGCTTCCCGGGCAGGTTCTGCAGTCCACACTGGCCTCCACACTGCTTGACCGTGCTAGCAGGGAGAGTTGCAGTGCAGGCGTGCCATGCTTACACCCACAGCTGGGAGGAGAACTGTACAGTGGGGGAGTGAACCCGTGCAGATACCACCACCACCACCCACCCACAGTAATGTCAGCATAACAAGAGTCACCCCCACAAACAGGTGGAGTCAGCCTGCTTCGCTTGCTCTGGACCTCAGCTGATATCTCTGTAACTCTACAGTTAGACGCTTTACTGGTATCTGACCCAGAAATCATCAATTTACTTAAAACCACAAAAGCAAGAGGTAAGTTCGGTTGAAAACCTCTGTTGTCACAGAAGAACAGAGCTGAAGCCCTGTAGACACTGAACCCAATGTACCACGAGCCCACGGTCTTCAACAAAAGTTCTCTCCTGTTGATGTATAACCAAGATTCACTTGCTAGGGGTCAACACAAGCATGTTCCAATGTGTTTCCATCACACAAACTCTTTGGGGTATTCATCAGAAATATTTAGATTAAGTACTACCATGATTTCTGAAGCAGTTTTCTAGAGTTTACAATTACCCCAGCGTTGACTGTTTGCACCCCCAATTCTCTCCTCTACTGTCGCTGTAGGACATGAATGCAAAAGGCCTGGTCAACCAGCAAACAAAGAATACAGACTGGAAAAGTGCCAGGGAAATGAAAAGGGTTTATATTCTTAGCGAGAACATTTGAGTCACTTGGCCTACTAAAAGTGTTTTGAGGTGCATTCACTGTTGATTGCATTTGTTTTCCAGGCTCACTGCCACTACATCACAGTGAAAAACTTTGCAGAAACTGTGGAAAAACTCGAGACCAAGGCTGGCATCCAGAAAATTATGAAACATCTTTGTGACCTCTTTGCATTACATGGGATCTTCTCGAATGCAGGAGTCTTCTTGCATGATGGATACATATCTGGAGCTCAAATGGACATGGTCACAGCATCATACCTGGACCTCCTGGCTGTCATTCGGTGAGCTGCTCTAGCATGAGAGGAGTTACACAGCTATTCAGTTTGTCCCTGTGATAGATATAAAAGGGTGCTGCTGTACCTATGGCAACATCTCCGAAGCCAATTCACCTCATTCGGGTTTTATTTTCATTGCCTGGCAGCACTAGAAATTGACTGAAATATTTACACAGAGCTTGTTTTCACAGCAAATCAGACCTAACCATGCAGCTCCTCTGCAATCTCTAAATTAAAGTTCTGTAACATGAAATCTTAAATTATAAGTCAAGAAATCCTGAACACTTTCTACCATTTGCAGTAGAGCAAAAGCAGGGAAATAGTGAGAGCAGCACTGGCAGGAGGCAGCCACAGCAACCGATCATACACTGCAAAATCTGCTTAAGCCGCAGCTAATACAGCCTACTCGTTGCCATGGCTGAGTTGCAACTGGTACCCAAACAATCCTGCCTACAGCTCATTGAGATGCATCTGCTCGACACCATTTATTACTAACTACGTGAACTCTGAGACATGGTAACGTTTTAACTTACCACAACACTCACAAAGGCTTTCTGGCAAAGGGTTCATCTTTCACTACTCAGTGCTGTTTGTTAAGAACAGATTGACTTATGGTGCAGAGAAGTGAGTTGCCCCTGTATATAAAATGCTACTTAAGCCACCTGGAGAGAAACAAGAATACACCATAACCAAGAGCCAGACAGGACTGAGCCAAACAGCAAGCATTTTCAGATCTGATCGCAGAATTCAAGTTAAGCGATAAGCTTAACATAACACTTTCAAAAGCCTAACACGTTGTCATCTCTGGAATTCGTTGCAACTTCTCTGTGTCAGTCCATGCCTTGTTAACAGGATTCAAGAACAGAGCAGGTATTTACCTGGGTAATTAGAGTCAGTTCTTTACAGTTAGAAGAAAGGATACAAACACTTTCCGGTCTGTAGCAAAAACCCAGCCGTTCCCAAACCCCCAAACAGCCCTTCCCCAAAAGGAACTGGTTGATGCAAAGGCCAACATTTGAGCAAACTGCTTTGCATCCCTGTACCTCAGGTGTGAGGTACAGCCAGCACAACTTCCTACACCCAGGGCAATGGGAGGACAGGGAAAAAGAAACCATCTCCTGCTTTGGAGAAGATGCTGTCATTACACACTTGTCCTTATGCTCTAGCTGTCTGTTGCTGACTGCTGTCAGGTAGGCCCTGGGCTAGATGGAGCCTTGGTGCGGTTCAGGGTTGCTTTGTTCTTACAGACACAAAGAGAGCAGAAGACCATGACACTCTATGATGAGGTAAGAGAAATACTTGGAAGAGTAGATGAAGGCTGGAGATCAGCAAAGCACTTCACATCAGTCTAGTAGCATCCTTCTTCCATTTTGTAAGACAAACACAAGCAGCATAAGAAAAACAAAAGAGAACAAAACAAAGCCTGAGAAAAACCAAAAGCAAGAACTGGCAGAGTCTGCTGAGAAAACATCTGACATGAGATTGAGTCCTAAATTAGAGAATTAGGGACGGACCCCAGGTGATTACACGACCCTGCAAATACCCATTCAATAGCACAGACCACTCAGGGCATTAGTAGAACAAGCCTCGGAGGAATCCAAACAAGCAGGATTTTCCCCACAGTGTAGGCAAGGGGAAAAACTGGCACAAGCTTTTTAGGCTGAGAAACCTCAACAACTGGCTTCCAAGTTTACCTTTGACTTATTTTCTCCCCTTACAAAACAATACCTGCTTCAGTAATATGCACATCATTCATCTGCTCCTTAGGAAGGATGCTGTTCCACTAGTGGACGCTTTTGACTTCACAGATAAGAGCTTGAATTCTGCGCTTGGCAGTTACGATGGACAGGTTTACCAACGGCTTTACGAGTGGGCTCGGAAGTCACCAACCAACAAGCAGGTAGGGGTGCTGGACTACAGCCAGGCAACTTCTGCATCAGCCAGAGCAGAAACGGTTTGCTTTTCTTTTATTAAAAGAAGTGCAGATAGAAGTGGAATAATTTAATTCTTAGTATCTCACTCTGAATGATGACCTGTGATACCCCAGTTATGCCACCTACAGTCTTAGCTCAGACATTTCACCTAACAATGAATTGTATCCCCCAGAGTACTGGAGCTCATACCTAGGAGCTGGATTCCCATGCACCACCAATATGGTTTTGGTTTTTAAACTTTTATCACTGAGGTAACATTGTACAAAATAAGCTAAACCAAAAGTCTGTTTACATAGTTTACATATTACGGAACAACACTAGATGGCTGCAAGAGACGCTAATTGCAGGGTATTTTCCATTCACTGGTACTTTTACTAGTGCAACATATATATTTTTTTTAATAATATGTTTAACCAGAAAGTATAAATGTTAAACAAGGCAATTTCAGCCTTCATGGTCTTTAGCACTTACTTTCACTTCTTAATTCATCTATATTGTAGAGTAATGGAAAATTCTGCACGATGCAAATAGCTATTGCTCTGTTTGAAAACTCATTTTGCCCTAAGTGAGATTTTTACTGTGGTAATCAGCAACCCTTTGAAATTCTACAGCTGAACATAAAATTTGCCTTCAGCAAACATTCAAGTTCAAGCGTATCTTTTGAAGTTAAATAGTATGCTCTTCCATTTGGGATGAGTATTGTGTACTGGTTATGAAGGACAGCACATACTATAGGGGAAGAGACTTTGCATAGCTTAAGTAGCTGGCTGTTTGGGGTTTTTTAAATAGTCTAGCTTTCTAGATTTCAGAGGTCATTCTTAAGAAAAAAATTATAGCCTTTTCCTTCTTCTTAATTAACATTAATTCCCTTCCACATTCTCTTTCTGAACAGATCAACCCAGCCTATGAAAGGTATTTGAAGCCACTTCTTCACAACACGCTGTCGAAAATGTGAAGACCACACATTTCCTCCTGTTCTTTGTGCAGCAGTACATTTCTGAAGCATCACTAATGACTAATCAGAATTAATAATTAGTTGCTTACTTGCAGTTGCAACGAATATGGAACAAGATTCTTAGCCAGCCATTTGCATTTAATCAGACAGAAGCCAAACAATGCTGAGTGGTACCCACCACTATGAGGCAATCTAGTCAGAAATAGCCTCAGTTTGCTGGTTTCTAACCTGAAGCATCCTGATAGCATCAAAACGATGCCATTTGGCTTTCTTTTTCTTTTTCTAAATCCACTATATGACAATTAAGGGGAAAAAAAAAAACCAAAACACAAAACCACCACATTAGGAACTCCCCTCAGTGTGTTTTAACTGTACAGTGCTTTCAAAACAAACAAACAAAAAAAAAATCAAACCCCCAAAAACCTACTTTACTAAAAAACCCAAGGAAGGTCCTTGGTTTCTAGGAACAACCTGCTCTCTTAGATCAAGAAGTGTATTAGAAAGTACATCTGTTTGGACAATTAAAACAGCTTTTAACTTGCTCTGCAGTGGAGTATTCCTGGCTAATGAAGATTCAGGCAAAGCTGATGCCAACTCCAATCTGCAAAATTTACTTTCCCATTAATAGAGCTGCTCATGCTGCCTTTCTATAAATCCTGGGCTCCAATAAAGTGTATTATTTGGAATACTGCTTCTCTAATTATTATACTTCATAGTTATGGAAAGGGCAGGCTGAGCCAGGTCAGTCATTAATTTGCTAGTAAATTAAGCATTGCAAAGAACATCTTGTGATTATAATTCAATGCCAGTTAACACAGATATTTCTTACCACCTGTTGCAGGAAGGAAACAACCACTTTTCCCGAGCTCCATCAGTTCAGCTTTTCTTTCCCCCCTATAGGAAGAACAAAGCTCTTACCACCTCTTATTACAGAAGTCAAAACCCCTACAATGCAGGAAGAGGGGAGACAAAATATGACAAATAAACCTCTGAGATGGGCCTTTTGAGTGAGAGATGGGATGGGAAGCTCCCACTTTCAAGAACCAGTAGCTACCATAGAAATCCAGACACTCCTTCACATCCCCAAAGAGCTGTGGTCCACACAGCCCAGAGAGCAAAGCAGTTGGGGTAAGGAACACTTGTGACAAGAACTTCACGGGAGAACGTGATCCTTTCATCAAAACAGATATCAACTCTCTCACTCCCAACAGCATTCAAGTTGGAGCATAACCAGAATTTCTATTAATAACTATGACAAAGTGCCCGAGATAAGCAGAAATGGCTAATCAAAATTGAGTAAAACCACAGAACTTTAGTGCCTTGACTTGAACATATCAGAAACCACACTCTACAGTTAAAATTATACATATAAAGTCACTAGCTAAATCACTGACAAACCAGACAACGCTACTTAGCGGCTACAAGTATTTAGGCTCTGTGTTCCCTCCAACCCCATCCCTCTAGCCAGTACAAATACTTGCCATCCTTTTATTAGCCATAATGAAGTTTTCAAAACAAAAGCTTTTTCCTATAATGAGGATAGTTGAATCAACTGATTAAGACAAAAAAGAACAAAGTACATCCATAATGGAGGAAAATGGAGCCCTACCAGAGCATCTGAACTACTGAGCAGAACACAAAAACAGGGTTTTGGGTGGGTTTTTTTGGTTGGGTTTTGTTCTTTAAGTATCACAGTTCTGGAAGACAAAAAAAAAAAAAAAAAACAAAGTAGTAGTCTGTGTTCCACATTTTTATTAGCTTCTTGCTGGCAGGCATTACACTTGGGAATAATATTGCACCAGGCATTAAAAATATGAATTCTACCACAGGGACATTTTGCATTTAGAATCCAATATAAATATTTCTAATCGTATTTCCATGGCTACAGATAATATTTGGTTGCTTGATTTATATGCATAGAAAGAAACAGTTGTCATAACTGTAACAAACTGTACTTATCAAGTACTTTTAAAGGGTGGGATTTGTTTTCCTAGAACATTACAATACTGTTTATTGATTTAGAAACTAAATTAGTCTACATGATAGCAGCTTTTCCCCAACTGCATCTTAAATTCCATTTGTTTTTTGCTCCCAGTACCGTAGCATTAGATGGATTAGAAACCATTTAAATGGAGGTAATTTTAGCACTTTAAGTTGCGTCAGAGAATTGTGTTAATGACACAAAATACCCTATTGTACTAATTCTTCGGACTCCCTCTTTCAAACAAAAAGGTGTCTTGACTGAACAGGCACATGCATTATTTTTTTTCCGAACAGGACAAAAGGACAGAGCTGCTAGAGAATGAAACTCCTCCAGTCCTTACTGATAAACAATAAATAGTCGTATAAAAAAAGCCCACATTGTTGTTCTAGTCAAAATCCAGACTCTCTCGGGTTTGCTGTCCAATTAAGTTGCTAATCACTGAAGTGGCTCCTGTGGAGTCAGAATCAGTCATCTGTTTTCCGTGCCAGTCTACAGAAAGTCCAGTTATGCTCCACTGTGTTTTCATTGGCACGCTCGCTCATATGATGAACTCTGGTATTCCTGATCGTGAAGCCTTGCTTTGTGATGTACTCCATCAGATGGACTCTGAGCGACACTTCCTGGTGGTAATCGCATGGCCCAAAAGTGAAGGAAACCTGGCAGTCCCTGGTGTCCATCATATGCTTATTCCACTTTGTGAAGTGGTTTGAAATACCTTCCAGTAACGAATGGACTTTCGTCGTGATGGTGAGCTGCGTGATGATTACAGCCACCGGGTTGGAGTACTTGGAGAGCTTCCGGGTGCTGGACAGCTCCACCACTTCCTCAAAGGTATCCACGGGATACAGCGGCTTGGGGTCATTAAGACACTGAATTAGTGGTTCAATCTGATAGAAGTCCGCTTCTTTCCGAAGTAGGTCAAACTCCTTGAAGTCCAGTGGCAAAGTGAGCTCTGAGGTCCTTAAAAAGTTAAGAACATAACGGAAAAGTGGTCCATCTCTGTCAATAAAGTAATTGCCCTGAGAGTCCCTGGCAGTGGGGAAGTCTCCCCTGAACATGGCTCCAAGCATCGAGTCAGGATATCTTGTTAGAGTTGTAAGGGATGTCGTATACATGTGTCCACCCACATTTAGTGTGACTGGATCAGTCATCTAGAAAGAGAGAAATTGCAGAGTTTATCAAGCCACCACAAGAAGATTCAATCACCGCACTGACACACGTGGCAAATACTGTTTGAAAACTGCAGGCTCTGGAGAGGATCACGCTTCTCCCATTTGAAGCCTTTAAGTGGTTTTTAAACGCGAACAAATCCAAGCCACCTAGCAACAAGGCACAACTGCCAACTAGACAGGGTGATACTTAACATTCAGAATACGCATTTCCAGAATGTTTTAGAAATCCTAACAACTGAGCCACTGTCACAGAAGTCAGTTTTGCATTTGGGCAACAAGGTTTTTTCCTATTCTACAGATGGGGAAATGAGAACAGAGATATTTCCTGAAGAACAAGTTAATCTGAATGAGGCCCATCAGTGCTCCTTACTTTCACAATCTGTTTCTCATTCTAGAACAAAAACAAGAAAGAAAAAAAAAAATAATCAGCTGAACAAGTCTTAAACCTCTCTCTCCCCCTCAAAAGAGGATGACAGTGCAAGTTTAGACACAGGACCAAGAGCTCACAATCAAAATAATCCACGCACTGATTAAGAGTCATCATTAAAACAAGCAAACAAAAAAGAACTTTCAGCTTTTAACTGTAAAAAGAAATATTTATTAGCAAATTAGCATGCTGCATAGAAGAAGGGGGCAGAGCACAAACCAGTCTGCATCAGCTTCCAGATAGCACACGAGGAAGCAAGAGAGAAAGGAACATAAATCCCATCTGGCCACCAACCCTAACAACCAGGACTGAGGCCAGCCAGAGAAGAGACATATGCATGGCAGCAGAATGTTTAGAGAAAGAGAAGAGGAGAAAAATAAGACGCGTTTGTCTAGTTTGAAACAGGGTTTACAAGGAAAAATATTTTTCTTTATAAACAAAATTACTAAGTCCTTAAAATTATATGCAGGAAACACAAACTACCTTCAGCCTTTGCGTGTTAGGAAAACGGTAACAGTGAGCTTAAGGCATCAGTTAAGTACTCACTGATTGTACCTAGGAAATAGGAATCTGAGCTCTCCCCACAAATAGCAAGCGAGGTGAAGCACTACAGAGAATGTTAGTATGCTGTCGTAACATGTAGAATTTTTCTTCTCACATGACTGAAGCTCTGGATCTACACAAGACAGATCTGGAAGGATTCTTACCACAGGATCTCGAAAGCCCAGTTGTACCACACAGCGCACACTTACGCAGGCTCACTTACCATATATCCCCAGTCTCCATTATCCATCTGTTCAATTGCTTGAACTGTGGTATTCCAAGTTTAACAGAAGGCTGCCGAAAGGATACGCAATTCACCTCTTATTATCTCCCTGCAGGAAAAAGCACACACAAAAAACACAAAACAAAGAACAAAACATGGCAGACCATCAGTACCTACAAGAACAACCGAGGGGAATGCTTTCTAATCAAAGGCAGGCTCTCTGCCAGGGAGAGCATTCAGCTACAAAGCCACATTAGCAGAAGAATCTACAAACGAGCTTTTCCCTGCTTCTCCCTTCACGCTACCCACAGGACTGCCTCCAGACCAAATGGGTAATCACTCCACCAGCTGTCTGACCATCCCAGTTTTGTTAAATAACAAGCAACGCGCCTCTGAGGATAACGTACATTCACAAATGGACTCCTTTTCACATGGGAAACTGTACATACTTTGGAAGACAGATGTCCTTTTCCCAATTAAAAAAGTTTATTTAGCCACCATTGAGGTCATACACGTGATTTGTTGATATTAGTCAAAATTCCCATGCTCCAGTTTCAAACTGCACAGAAGAATAAATCAAGCATGAAAGTCAATGAACAGTAGGAAGAAAAAAAAATCTCACTGTGGAATTAATAATTCAGTAGTGGAGAACTGCAATTGATAGCGAGAACATTAATCTACAGACAAAGAGTACGAATGGACTTCACACATACAGACTCTGGAAAGAAATCTCTTTAGGGACAAGCCAGAGGACATCAAACATGTTTTCAACAATGCTCCAACCAAGGCAATTTGAGAAGTGGTTCATGCGGTGACTTCCCAGAAGATGCTGAACTGCTGACTTGCATAACAAGGGGACTCGCTCCACACAAGCACAGCAAGGGAAATCCACAGCCCGGGTTGTGCAACTCGAGGAGGGGGAAGCAGTGACCCCAGGCACCAGATTTTCCAAAGGCGGCCTGTCAACCATGTCAAGCGATGCATGGACAGGGAAGCCAGTTGTCAGTAAGCCTTTATCCCTACCCAGAGCCTGCCTCGCTGCTAGAACTGCTGAAAATTTAGGTCAGTCTGCTTTAAGTAGGGTACAGCTTCTCAGCTTTGTTTATTTTTACATCTTAAAGACCACACAGTTACCAAGAGTTCTGCTCCCATCCTCTTTACTAGCAAACTTCAACACAGCCACCCAGCTAAAAGCAGCACTAAGATTTAGCCAAGCCAGGGCCCTACCTTCTAAAACAACTGAAGGTTCACACTTAACTCCCAACCAAAAAGACTACTTGTCCTTCTCATTCCTAGCAAACGAGGTCAGTCCCATTCATCACAGAACAAGGCTCTGCTACCCTGCTCTGCCCACTTCTCTGGGCTCTGCTACCCTGCTCAAACCCACAGCCCGGGCACAACAGCATCCAGCAGCTCATGCCTTCGGGGACCGGCAGCACAAGCACAGCCTCAGCCGCATCTCAGATGTGTTAAAGAGCAGAAAAAACAAAGTCAGTATACAAAAATCATGAGGTGAGACAACAGAAGACTAAGGAATACTAAGATACAGAACTAGTCATACCAGGATCCTATTTTTACAAGTTAGAGACAGAACATGCCTCAAGAAAGTACATTAAAGCACACACACCCCAACAGCAGATAAACCTGGAATGCCAGCTCTTTTGCCAACCTCTGTAATTACTTTAACTGCTCACAAATCAAGAAGTGAATTCATTCAGGTTTTCTTTATCAATCTTTATCAACAGCACAGACCTTTGTAAATTCCAGCAGGAGTTATTCTGGTCAAGTACACCACCAGTATAACATACAGATGCATTAAATCAATAGGAGAGACTGGTGCACGTTTCTGATATTCAAGGAAAACATTCACTTGAAAGTGAAATGATGCAGCCAGACAGAAATTTCACTGGTAATCATGACAGAAGAGATTCACAGTCTTAATAAAATTAACTGGAATTATACATTCAGAATATTTCAGAGACAGACAGATGCCCATCAGAGTTATTTAAACTGGTGGACAGTTACTATGTTATTTTGGTCAGCATCTAAGCCCACACTACAGATGAATCAAGACTTTATCAGGGAAAGAAACAGATGACACCGCCTGTCTGTACGAGGGCATGAACTAATCTTTGATCACAGCACTGCTATGTAATACTGGAGTGAATAATTTACGAGAGCAATTAGCTGAAAGAAACCCAGCTCTCAACATATAAGTGGCATCAAGAAGTCTCACTGACCTTTGCGTAAGGACCCAGAATCACTAGGCATGCACAAACCTCCCTGGCAGAGCTGGAGCAAGATGCACAACGCGAAGGGATGATACCAGGAAGCCATCATAAAATGCCCAAGTGTGATCACAGCTACCCGCTGCTTCCCGCACCAATCTGGGAGCTCTGAATTTCTGGACAACTTCACAGGCAAAAATAGCTCAGTTCAGGTACAGCCTGAGATAAGGACTAACAAACCACATCACAACAAGGGTGGGGACATACGCCCTTCGCGACATACACCCTTTCAACCATGTCTTAAATTCTTCCTGAATGAAATACAGTGACGCACTGGTGAGGGTGGGCAGCCACTCACTCCATCCATACCACGGGATGGGCAGCCTCAAGCCAGCTCTTGTCCCTGTGTCACACAGCAACACACCACACCCGGGGACAGCCTCACCAACATGGCTACTCATGTCCAGACAGCAGGTACCAGACAACATGCAGCCGTATCCCAAGACAGCCTGTCTTTAATAACCATAAAAACAACTCATTTAAGAAGAAATTCAGGCAGGCAAACTGCTGACACCATTTAAGCCAAACAGGATGTCATTCCTTGCTGAGAGCAGAAGTACACTGATTGTGGCAAACCACAGTCCTGCTTTCATCAAGCTGCTTCTGCGAGCAGGGAGATGATGTACAGCATTAACGTGGTCATCACCGCTGCTGCTGTAGCTCAGCACCAAGCACGTCCAGAACTACAAGAAAGGAGTACCTCTGAAGAAAAGCACTCAAGTCATCATTTTATATTTAATACACCAAATTGGATAACAGCATTTATAAAATGCTTGCTCTTATTTCATGTATTATGACTCGGAGAATTAGAAGGTTATCTACCAGCAACCCTTCTGCAACAGGTAGTCCCATTAACTTCAGCAGGGCTTCTGCAACAGAGCTGCTAACGTGCAACCATTTTGCAAGCTGAAACTCAGAGAAAGCAAATGACAGTCAGCTGAACATCTGCATCTGTGAATACACACACGGGTTCAGGACCTGCCCAGAGGATGCCAGCAGCACTGCCAAGCATTTACACTCCTGGGACCACATGCACTACGTTTGGTCAAGGCCACTGCACTTGGAGAAAATCATAGTGTTTGTGTCACATGCAGTTACTTTAAGGACGAGCAGAAAATCACCTAACAGTTAAAAGTCAAGAGCCACATACCACCTGATTTGCTCTGAATGTTTTTCATCTAGTTTTTCGAAGAAAATAATGAAAGGATTTCCTTGTGGCACTAGTCTTTAATGGAGAGTTTAGTATCAATATTACAACAAAAGGTGTTTAACCTCCATGCAAACTACTTAACCTCAATAGTTACCTTAGATTTCTAGGTCAATATACAATTGACAGGAATTCTACAAATTGCAACTTGAAAACTAAAAAGAGCAAAGCCAGGACTCTACTGATACAAATAAATATACCTGGTGTTTCACCCACTTAGTGAGCTCCCTGCCTCTCACATTTAGATCTCCAAAGATGAGAAAAAGCAACGCCCACCCTCAACACAGCTATGCTGTACGTGGACAACCTCTCTATTCTCCAGCCACTCACAACATTTGAAAGGCAAGTTTTTATTGTAAATCATTATTGGTGACTCACCTGAACTGACAAAAACTAAGCTAGCACCAGTGATGACTGTACTCCACCAAACTGTACAGCGAGACAACAGCCTGCAGAGCAAATCCATGAGGATCCATCACCGCACTACCCTAACCAAAGGAGCGAGGAGGAGGCAAGCTCTTAAAACAACCGTTTACCGAAGCTTCTGGTAATTCAGCAGATCAGCTTCACTAAAGAAAGCATCCATCACCTTCTACACGTCAAGTTTAGAATGACTAATACAGTTTATTGAAAATTAACTCAGTTCTTGCTTTTCTTTCGTTGCTTTTTACTAATCCTTAGTCTTCACCTCAGGCAGGAGGGAAAAGCGCTCATGCTAGCCACTCAGCGTTTTCACTCCTTTATGTCTAATTGCTTCACTATAAATTCCAAGCTCCTGAAGCTTCCTTCCCTCCCCTGAGGAGCTCTACGACATCCTGGTTTAAGTCCAGGTTCCAAACTTTTATTTTAACTGTTGCTTGTTTGAAATGCTCACATCACCACATTACTTTGGCCCTCCTCTCACACGAGCCAAAAGACAACACTTGCACCTAGCCTGGTCCTGCTGGCCCTGTGCTGCCGAAGGAACCCCAGGCACCCAGGCTTTCAGCACCCATGACAACAGTTGGGTTTTACCCAATTTATGTCACTTCTGTGAAACTAACTGGTAGCTGTCTGTGTGTGGGAATGCATCTCCAAACAGTTTTGGAGGAAGGCAGGTGTCAGAAACACTGAGCCTCCCTGCACAGACTAAGGAGCAACAGCAAGACAGGGCAGAAACCCTTCCTGTGAGCCCAGGCCAGAGAGGGACCCAGGCCTGTGGCAGGAGCCGGGAAGTGCCGGTTTCCATCACAGAGGAGCCAGAGAGCTCACGGAGGGAGAGCTCTCCCCAGGATCACAATGATTCAGCAAAGATGCTGGAAATGAACCCAGACATTTCGCCCCCTCACCACCCTGCAAGTAACCCAAGAGCCCACACCCCCACCCCAAAGCAGCGTCCCAGCTCTGCCTCCCCTCCCGGGTGGGGCACGACCCACATAACCCAGACCCTCCCTGCCAGAGATCACCGCCGGGCACCCCAGCTCCCACCCCGGCGCCCTCCCCGCTCCTTCCTTTTCCCCTCCCCAGCGGTGCCAGCACCCGGGCACCGGCCGTCCCATCCCCACCCCAACGCCGAGGCCCCGGCATCCT